CAAACCGAGCAAGAACCGAGCTCGACAAGAACTAGGAGCCAAACACAGCCTCCCAACAAGAAACAAAGCCACACAGCCCCCCCAAACTGAGCTTGACAAAAACTAACGCCAAAACCGAGCTCCCAAAAAAAGAAACAAAGTCAAAGCCGAGCTCGACAAAACCAAAACCAACATCAACAATTTTTAAATTCAGATCTTTTTACATATATATATAAAAATGCAGCTCTAGCCATTTCAAGCCGAAACCAAGGTTCCAAACCGAACCAAAACCGAGCCACAACACCTTCTAAATTAAATAGATTTTTCTCATAGCATATATTTCAAACCAAGGAGTGCCACAGGAAGCCAAAACCGAGCCCCAACACATGCATAAAACAGTAAGATGCAATCTCTAATTCAAGCAAATAACCAAGTTCAGCTCTTAGGACATGCCCACATTTCATTTTAAGTGCACCTGAAATGAATATCTCAACAATATGTTAAAGTAAAATGAACTAGCATGTTGTATCCACCCAATAGATCTAAGCTCAAAGGCTCGGCAGAGAGGAAAACCGAGAGGAAACAGGGCACCGAAGAAGGGGGAAAAGAAGAGTACCTCAAGAATGCTAAAGCAAAGCCCTGCAACACCAGAGTTCACCCCGGAGAAGTGCCCTCACAAAAATTCCCTCTCCAAGCTCCTCTCACAGCCAAAATTTCCACTCCTCTCAAAAAAAACTTTCTCAACAACCTCAAAAATTTCAAAAGGAACTGTGTATATAGGCAGAGAATAGAGAGAAGTGAAAGAAGACCACCCTCGACCGTCCACAGCACTCGAATCAGGCCAAAGAAGAAAAGGATACGCTCCCTGCTCACAGAAGGCGAAGCCAACGAAGTCTCTCGGACCGAGCGGCGAGACCAATGGCAGTGAGGGAAGTATCGAGAAGAGGAGAAGAAATGCCATTCCAGTGTATCAGGGAACAAGCTTCCCAGAGTCAAACTACCGAGAAAAGAAAATCCGCGGCTCAAGAAGACTGGCGTGGCTTCGGGAAGGAAGGTCGCGGGCAAAAGAAAGTCAGGGAAGGACGGACGCGAAGTCAAGTTTCTCTCGCGTGAAGGAGCTCGCTCGGCTCGAGACCGAGAAAGGGAAAGGCCAAGCGCGCGAACAGGGGAAGGAAGGGAGGCAGGGCTCGGCGCAGAGAGTGGAGTGTTAGGTCTAAAAGAGGTGAAAGGGGGAAAATAGCTTTAATATAGATTAATATATATACATATATATATAAATATATAAATATATATATTAAATTATATTCGATTCATTTGCGCGCGGCGGCGTAACAAAATGAGTGTCCTCCCTAGGCAAAATCGACGTTCTGGACGCGCCGGTGCAGTCCGTTTTGTCATCCAGGGTCGCTCGGACGGCGTCGTCGACAATCGGGTCAAAAACGCGTCGAAATTCAAATTTCACAAAATTTCGACCCGCGCTCGATCGTCTCAAAAGATTTACTCGGGCCCTCGACGAATAACAGCGCAAGCGATGCGAATCGTGGCGATCGGACGCGGCGACTCTCCGAATTGCGAAGTTTATGCGCGCGGGAGTGTGAATTGTGCAAAAGGTCACTCTAAGGCTCGAAAGGTCCTATAGGAATCCCTTTTGAGTTCATGTTGGTTTCATCCTTCTAAGTGCTAGAAGTTGATACCACACACGCGAAACTCCAGAAGGGGATGGAAGCGGGTTGAATTTCTAGAATGAGGCGGGTCCTACTTCTAAGGTTCTAAGATAGTCGAAGGGAGATCCCTAAGGCTAGATCCTAAACCCTAAGCGGAAGACTAGACCTCACTAAAAATGAGGTCAACAGTGTATTATATCTGGTCCTCAAATTTCTAAACTTTTGTATTTGATTTTTTTTATGGATAAAACATTAGTTTTGTTGTTTCAAAGCATGAATAGCACTTAGATTATAATTTCTCCCTTAAAATGGTAGTCTCAGGATTAGCAGTTTAACTTTATGATGTAATTTAATTAAACTTTCTTCATGCTGATATTTTAACCTTCTGCTCTTAATTTACACTCAGCCTGGTCAGTTATTTTATTAAATCTTATTGTAAACAATGAACTTCTAAGAAAACCTAGTGGAAGAGTTAGGCTAAAGCACACCGACTTAGAAAAATAGAAATATTGCTTCTATGTTAGTACAATAGTGTAGGGAGAAATGGAATCCTGAGTTTTGCATGATTTAGGAAACTAAACTGCAACATAAAATCACAAGCCTTCTTTAACCATGAGAATGGGCTAAGGAGGAAAGCTGCTCCTGATTGTCACCCATAAATGCATCACTTAGCTAAATCTAGGTTCCTGAGACCCAATTAATGAGAGAATTTTTCATTTTATTACAACTCTCATTAAGTATTTTATTTTGCAAATATTAGGAATAGTAACTTTAATATCTGCAAAATTCAAATAATTCATGCTATACTCTGAACCAATAGACTGAAACTTTACCTAATTTTCAAATTGACTCGTTCCTCGTGGGATTGACATGCGGACTCATATTACTTGAGCAACATGTATGCTTGTATGATTATTGCGTGCTTCACAACAGTTTCAAGCTTCACCTTGGTGCTTAGATTGAATTCCTTTAGAGGCCTTGGATTGCTTGCCTATGGACCTTCAAGTGGGATAAATCCCTTCTTATTTTATGCATAAAATATTTCTTCTTTTTTTTTTTTTTATGATGTTGTAAATATCAATATAATTGGAGATAGAATTATGGCCTTTAAGATTATTGTTGATACTAAGATTTTTAATGTTATAAATGTTCCTATGAGTTTGAACACATGCATAGAGTAATTCACTTTGATTTTTTTTTTTTTTTTGGAAGACCTAAAGAGATACTATATAAGCCCTCATACTTAATACAAAGTGAAATCAATAAAATCTCCAAGAAAAATTTTTATCCTAAAACCAAACCACGGTACATACAAACTCAGGAATGTGAAGACAAAACTCATAAGAGGTCAAACAGAGATGAAAGAAAACAGATATATAGAGGATCAATTCAAACAATTTTACCCTTTTATCTTTCAAAGCATTTCCCATTAACGTTCACAACTATGGAAAGAAAAGCTGTGGGTAAAGAACAGCGGCAATGAGTTTTTAGGTGAGAACGAAAGAAAACTTCTAGTGAGGAAGAAATCGAATATTTCTTCAGCAGCTAACGCCTAACATTAACGTAGAGGCGGCCGGCAGCTCGTGCTCAAGATATGTACTCAAACCCAACCCCTTAGGATTCTTCACGTTGTTTTCAATATATCCTACGAGTTTGAACACATGCGTAATTCACTTTGATTTATTTTTTTTTTTGGAAGACCTATAGAGATATATATATAAGCCCTCATACTTAATACAAAGTGAAATCAATCAAAACTCTAAGAAAAAATTTTTCAACTCTTATATACTTTCTCTATTTTTCTATAATAAATAAAATATTAAGTATAAGTTTTGTGGATGCCGAGCACCCCAACATCTGTAGATAGAGAAACATACCTTAGTTAAACAAGCTAGAATTATATTTACTGAATGTAAATTATTGAAATATTTTTTGGGCAGAAATAATGAATACCTATTACATTATTAATAAGATTAACTTGGAAAATTTCTCAGTAATACTATATCTAAAAATTGGTAATGTATAAAATTTTGTATGCAAGTGTTGTGTCTTAAATAATGGAAAAGAACAACTAGGTAAATTTGATAGTGAATCAAATGATGGAATTGTTTGATCCGAATCGAGCTGAATCTCCACCGAGATACTGTATACTCAAACAAATTTTGGAACAAATAACAAAGATTGAAACCCAAAAATCAAGGAAGGCTTAACTTGTCTAATTTATTTAAGCCTACGTAAGACCACCTATCCTTCAATTTCTCTATATAAGCCACCTTACCTATGCGTGAAGTTAAAAAATAAAATAGTGGTATTTTTTATGTGAAGAAAGATTTGAGTCATTTACATGTAAAATGTAAAAAATATAGGTGTTGATATGTAAATATATAAGAATTGAGTGGTAGCCACAAAAAAAAAATCATAACAATGATAAAAAAAAAAATTACATTCGTACCTCTCAATTCCAATATATTTACACATATAACACCTAAATGTCAACTTTTGTATACATACCACTTAACCTATGCATGAAGACATGTGTTTCACATAAAAAGGTAAAATAATGATATTTTTTTATGTGATTTTAATTATCTAAGTGATATAAATGTAAAAAAACAAAGTTTAGGTGTAAGATACGTAAATACATAAGAAATAGGTGGTCTGTATGTAAATGCCCCAATAAATAACCTAAAGTACGGGAACAACAACAAAAAATAAATAATAAAAGATGAACAAAAACATCGAAATCTGCACAGGCAAGCAGCAAAGACATAAACGAACCAGTTATAATGACATCATTAAGCCCATCTCCGTGAATCAAACTCGAAAATCTGCCACCCGGTTTCTCTCGGCCTCTCCCATAAGATGGCAAAGGATCAATCAAAGGCCAGCTAGCAGCATCCTGCACAAAGTTAGACAAATGCAGAGTTCAAATAACAAGAGAAAACTACTAAGTTTCTACCAGCAAAACTTAGCCTCAGATTCACGACACCATATATTATGTTTCTTCCAATCCATCACCAAATTCTAAAAAAAACTGTAGGCGTTGTTTGGCTCTAAGGACTTACCAGTTGTTCGGTAAATCCACCGAACTCCCCTCAATAAATTCTCTTAAAAGCTTCTACCAAACGGTAATCATTTACCTTTCCATCAATAAAATAGTCTTTCAATTTTTTCTTTTAGAATAATTCAAGAGTTTAAAATCAATACTCTCCATTTCTCTCTCTCCCTTAAATTAAAAATGCTAGGTTGCCTACTCAAGAGCTCAAAAAACAATCCTCAGCTCCGCTGTCGAATGTATGAATGTAGACACTGTTGTTTCTGAGTTGTGTTAAGAACCCACTACCTGTGTGGCTTTAATGACCGCACCCTTGGCGAGAAAGAGCGTCATGTGGCTAGTGAGATTAAAGGGTCCTGTGAGCCAGACCCCGGCGGGAACATAGAGAAGCGTGCCGCCAGGACGATTCAGGTGCTCGATCCGATAGATCGCCTCCTTGAACGCCTTCGTATTCAGCGTTTGTCCGTCTCCAACTCCTCCATAATCCACAAGCGATATCGTCTCCGCCCTCATCTTCATTGGCACGAACCCCAAACACGTCTCCTCTCCCATAGCATAGTGCACTAGGAGGAGAAAGAAGAGTGTTACCAGCTTTAGAAGCATACTCGAGTGAAAATCGAAGCGGAAGAGTGACCAAGTGAGTGAGCGCCAAAGATAAAAGGCCAAGGGCTTAGATCTTCCTCAAGAAAGAGGTGAGATTTTTTTTCCTTTCGCCAAGGAGATGAATCCAAAATCAAAAATGCAGGAGGCAAAAGAGATTTGGCCGAGATGGAAGCCGAGTGTAGTTGGGGACTGTGCCTTTAATGGCGCTTGAAGTTGGGTCGATTAAAAAAGTGGAGAGAAGAATTTTAAGTTCAGTACTGAGCGCATCATGGAAATTAAAATTGATTTCTTGGTACGGGATAAAGCATGTGGGGAAGCCAGCCACTAAATCACAAATTTTAATTATATTCTAAGAAGATTTACGATCATATCTCTACAATCTTATGTATTTATATATATAACACTTCAATTTTATTTTTTTTTATGTATTATAATTTATATTTTCATGTTTAGAAATTAAAAATATTAAATTTCCTATATGATAAAAAAGATTGATGATAATAATGATATTATATATATATATATATATATATATATATATGAGTATCCGCGCATAAATGACTTTAAATTTTATGAAATTGAAAAAATTCAAACTAAACAAATTACTTGATTATATGCAATTTTGTTTGTTATTATTTAATAGGCATTTAAGTAATCAAAACAAAATTTCCATCATTAAATATTTATTAAATAATAGTAAAATTAATAAAATTAAATTTGAACAAAATATTATTTTTAAAAATTTACATTTTCAAACGAAAAGCATAGATATGAAAAATTTAACTTGATTTGATTAAGTTTCTTATTGGCAGCTTAATTTAATTAATTTTAGATTCAAATTATTCATATTATAATCCGTGAGAGAAATAGGTAAATGAGTGCACCCAATGAGTAATGTAAGTTTATATGGATATTTAAATAAAAAACTTATAAACTTAATTTTTTGTTATTAAGTTTTGGACATTTAGATACGTGTACCAACCAATTCCAATGTGTTTACTTACATATCTAATGCCTTAACTTTTTCTTTAATTTTCACGCCACTTAAATAATTTTAATGACAATGAAAGTTGCATAATTTTAATTTAAAAGTGAAATACGCCTTATAACACATTAATAATGTGGTGCACATATAAAATCTTAAGTTTGGATGTGAGGTGTGTAAATATAAAGGTATTGAGTGGTAAATACGCAAATCATCCAATAATTTTAAAGTTTAATAAGTGGAATTATATTTTAGAAAATTTTTTAAATAAAAATCATTAAAAAATACTTTGTGCTATAATTTATTAATGCCCCTATTTTTTTGAAACCCTTTAAGTTTCCTAAATTTATATTTACCGTTTATCATGAATTTCACATGCTATAATGTCCGAAATTTCAAACAAATGCTTGTGACAGTATTACTCTTAACTTTATTAATAACTTCTTATGGGGATTTCAAAATCAGAATTAATTATCTTTATCAAGAAATATTTCAGGTTCTTAATTAATTAAATAAATTAAATTATTTGATATAAATAATCTATAATTGTTAAACCCCAAGCTAAAGTTAAACTATTAGATCGGTGCTGGCCAGGGAATCTAATATCGTTTTTTTATATATGCATTTCTTAATTTGTTTTATAAAGCGATTCGCAGCCGGCACCGGTCCCCTCAACCGACAATTCTCTAGCTGGCATGCGAAGTGCCATTCAATTCTTAAACCTTATCACAGGAGCTCTCATACATTATTTGAGCGTATAATAATATATTATGAACTTTCCGATAAACAAACCGTACAAATTTTTATTTGGACTAAATCAATTTAAAATACTTTATATTAGAATATTTTCACTAGAAAAATAATCATGACAGCGTTATTAAATTCTTTTAGATAAGAACTGAAAATTTTATTAAGCAAAAGGATCTCAAATGATACTCTATTTGACGCCTTCGGGCTCCGTTATAAAGTCTTTTGTGTAATTTTGTCTGTCTCCAAAGCATTACCTCCAAGCTTAATCTATTAGTCGTAGAATGATCTCCAGGAATGATCCACCTTTTGCCCCTTACAGAGCATGTCGTTGCCGAGTAGAGGATCATCTCTAGGGATGAGAAAGAAAGAGTTCATGTGTATGTTGGGGGATCGATAGAACAATCTTGCCGGCTGAAACGCCTAAAAATTACCTAATTTTTAATTTATATTTTACACTCATTTTTAATGATATTACACTTTAAAGTAATGTATTTTGCATATTTTTAGTTTCAGGTACAAGAAATGAACTTTTGGAGAAAGTAAAACAAAAATGGTGCAACTTTGAGTAAAAACGAGCAAGAAAAAAAATTCTGACTTGACACATTTCGATATGTCTTCCTATGCTTAATTTATTTTATATTTCTCACATGTTTTTGAATGAAATTACACTTTAAAGAAATGTTGTTTTCATGCTTATTTTATAGGTTTATCTGTTAGGAGCGAAACACAACTGAACGGAGCGAAACGGAGCTGAAACGGAACTAAACGAAGCAAAATAGTGGAGTTGATATAGGGTAGTGTATGATGCGCCTCAAGACATATTTTTGTAGATGAAGGCGGTTCGGGACAAATTTTGGGCAAATTTTCAAAGAGACACTTGTTCTAAACACCACTTGGAGTGATTCAATGCATCTAGACACTTTGGAAGACTCTTTTATTAAGGGATATATCGCTTGGATCAATGAATATATCTTTTGAATTCAAAAGTTTAGATAGATTTTGGAGGGAATTTTAAATTCTTTTTGGAGTGAGACAACTTTTATAAAAGAGAGGGAAGTTAATGGCTTT